AGCGTCCATGGCCAATCTAGACGCGCTTTTGCACAAAAAAGCCCCGATTGCCATTTTCACGATTGGGGCTTTTTTGCGCAAAACAAATCTGGCTGTCTACACTGGCCCTTTTGTGCAAAAGTTTTGCGCAAAAGGGACTTTTGCCCGAATGAGAGCAGCATAGTATTTCCACAAAAAGCACTGATTTCTTACAGTAGGAAGTCAGTGCTTTTGCGGAAATTCAAGCGGCCAGTGTAGACAGCTGGCAAGTTTTTCCGGAAAAGCGGCTGATTTTCTGGAAAAACTTGCCAGTCTAGACACAGCCTGTATGTATAAAGAGTCGCAAGCACAAATGACTGTACAAAGTTGAAGAGAATGGAGAAATTGGTATATGGGGCAGATAACACTTACCTACCGCACAATGCTGTGATAACATTTAATTAATGAATGTCTGTACAATGCAGTGAACATATAAAGTGCTGTGTAAGCAAAGAGTATAATTCTTCATTAAAATGGTATTGCCGTTGCTTTGGTCATTGCCACAGGTGGAAAACAGATACTGGATTATACACTCTGAGTATCTTCCCTGAATATAGTGTAATCTTCCAACAGACAATAAAGAACCACTGGTCATACAATAGTGAAACTCAGCAGAGCTCCCCTTCCTGATTTCAATGGTGTCTTCTTTCCTTCAAGATTGCCATACAAAATACAAGCAGTAAAGGGCATCTTTACCACCTTTGTCATGGCAAGAACCCTCCCTTCCCCCCAGCCAAATGTATCCATAAGTATAAATTCTAAATTGAGGCCAGAGTTTATACTTCCTTCCCTTTTCAGTTCTGACTGATTGATTGGTAGGCCGTTCCTAAACTTGGGGCTGTTTGGTGAATAAAGTCATGTGCTGGATCATGCTTCAGCACTCCTTTGACTGGAATTGCCATGGGTAGCCAGGGCTGGAAACTTCCAGGAAGTACATTGTCTGAATTAACAGCAGGAGCCAGAAAGCCCATATAAGGTTGTGTATCTTTCACAATTCAAATAGACTGAGTCTGTGAGGGTATGTCTACACTACCCTCCTAGTTCGAACTAGGAGGGTAATGTAGGCATACCGCACTTGCAAATGAAGCCCGGGATTTGAATTTCCCAGGCTTCATTTGCATAAGCGGGCAGCCGCCATTTTTAAACCCCCGCTGGTTCGAACCCCGTGCAGCGCGGCTACACAGGGCACGAACTAGGTAGTTCGAACTAGGCTTCCTAGTTCGAACTACCGTTACTCTTTGTGAAATGAGGAGTAACGGTAGTTCGAACTAGGAAGCCTAGTTCGAACTACCTAGTTCGTGCCCCGTGTAGCCGCGCTGCACGGGGTTCGAACCAGCAGGGTTTTAAAAATGACGGCTCCCCGCTTATGCAAATGAAGCCCGGGAAATTCAAATCCCGGGCTTCATTTGCAAGTGCAGTATGCCTACATTACCCCGCTAGTTCGAACTAACGGGGTAATGTAGACATACCCTGATTGTTTTTCTCCTGCTTTGAGCAGCCTGGTTAAAGCTAATCATTTTGAGAAACCACAGGGCTGGTCTCGTCTAGTTATGTTTTCCTCAGATGGGTCTTGCCCATAAAATTCAAATCTAGGTCTAACCTTTCCCAAAAAGATGCACCCTTTCTATAGGACAGGGGGAATTTTAAGGCTCCAGAACTGTATTTGTTGACAACGTAGATAGAGAGAGGTCTGAACCAAAACTCCAGACCTAAACATTTCCGGAATTCCCAAAGCTCAGAGGTTTTTAGGCCTGGACTTCTGTTCTGACCCATCCATATTTACACTGTCCATAAATACTGTTCTGAAAATTCTACTTCTTCCACAGAAAGGGAGACTTTTTTTCATAGAATCGCCTTGTTATTTAATAGAGTACAACTTCCAGGGCAGGAAATCCCTCACACAAGAAGTGGAATTTTAATGCTTCAAGATTGGGAGGTGCACCTGATTGCTCCTTTTAATACAGAAGACTTACACTTTGTCTACACTGGCAATTGAGTGACAAAGCTTTTAGTGTTCACAGGTGCTTAAATCCTCTCCCCACACCCTCAAAAGGCAAACACTTTGCCACAGCAAATAATAGTGTAAACAGTGCTTTATAGGCTGGAGAGCTCTCCTGCCAACAAAGCAAACTCCAGTCATAGGGGGTGGGCTTTTTTGTCAGCAAAAGTGCCAACAGTGTTTACCCTGCCTGACTTTTAGCACCATGGCTATATCACTAAGAGCTGTGAAGTGGAGACAAAGCCTTAGTCAACTTGTCCCATGGAATCTTTCCTTGGGATTTGTGAAAAAAGGAACAGAGGAAAGAGACGGAAAATATACGTACTTCATTTCTTGAACAAAATTACAGGGACCAAATGGGCTGAACTTGAGGGAAGCAGGTAGAGAGGACATAGAATTCCATTCAGAATGTAGGGAATGAACCAAATCAAAAGGGAATTCTGCCTGTTATTTCAACGCAGGTCTAAATCATAAAATCCCCAAGTGATTCACTTGTTCTTGCTCAGAGGGAGGAGGTCTCCACTGTCCACTCCAGATGGTATCGCCCAGAAAACTGTCCCAAGAGACAGTCCCTTTTTTGTGATATTTTTATTCGGCCTATTCCTGGAAACCTTTATAAAATGCAGCATCTTAGTCATAAGTGCCTTGCCATTGAAGATAAAAGGGGAAAAGTTTGGTGGCAGAGTTGTTTAGCATGTATTTACTGTGCTGCTTTTCTATTCCTAAGTGAACTTTATGTTCTCTATATGCTCTCTTCAAAAGGAAGAATTACTTTTGGCCCCAAATGAGTACCCTCTGCCCAGATGGGCTAGAGACTGGTTTGAAACTTTTCCTCATATATTCTCATGATAGTTAATTCACACTTTTTCCTACTTCATTTTCCATTCTATCCTGTCCACTGGGGTTTTGAAGTAAAATGACTGCTGTAATAGAAATACTGCCCCTCCTTAAATATACACCTTGAGCACAAGCAGTTGGACTTGATCTAAGAGATGGTCCCTGAATAGTTGGCAAAGTGTGTTTGTATCTTCATATACCTCCCCGCAGATGACCGCATACGGAGCCTTCCTCCACAAGGGCTCCTTCTGCAGGAACTACTTCAACATCCTAGACTTGCTGGTGGTCAGCGTTTCTCTCATCTCCTTTGGGATCCAGTGAGTGAGCCGTTCTTGACTGAGATGATCCACTGTCTGTGGGGAGGGTGGGAAGGAAGGGGTGGCATTAGATGGATAATGTTGGCTTTTCTGTATGAAAGTTTATTTCTTTTTTATACTCTCCTGAATGACAGTTTGAAGCTTCAGAATTGTTTGGTCCAGTCTGGGGTAGCAAGTGGCTTGTACTAGCGAGGCTCGATATAAATTGGCTCATACTGTTGGTAATGATCTGGAGGGGGAAAGACTAGAGATGGCAAGTGAAAGCAAAGAGGGCAGTTCAGGGGCTAAGATAAGAAACTGGAAGTCATGAGACTCTTGAACGCTCGCAGTGTTACTTGAGAGTCTTTGTATCACCCCATGATTCAATTACTCTTCCAGTAAAATGGGGTAATATAGGTCTATGCCACAGAGCCGTTCTTCTTTAATGGGTGCTTGCAAAGTACTCAGAGAGTCTAGGGAGAAAGCTATAATAAAATTATAAGCTGTTGCTGTTATTTCCCAAGCACTTCTTCCATAAACCTGACCAAGCTTAAGGGACCACTTGGTTCTGTTAGTACTTTCTGCCTCATACAGAAGCTCTGAGGATAAAACTAGAGTAATTCCTATATAATGAGAACCCAGCTAATCCCAAAGCAAGTCAGGTAGGTCACTTCCTATTGTTCCTGTAAAAGCTGACAGACTACTACTCTCTTCCAGGTCCAGTGCTATCAACGTAGTGAAGATCTTACGTGTCCTAAGAGTACTCAGACCACTGAGGGCCATCAACAGAGCCAAGGGACTAAAGGTTAGAGAAACCCTGATCGCCACAAGTAGTTCTTAAGGCCAGAAACCCAGGTTACTTCAGTCAAAAAGCACCAGCCTTTTAAGCGCTCAAGTAGGCTAACAGGCCTAATGCATTTGCTTTGGGTTGGTTTGCAGATAGGCAGGCTGTGCTTCTAGCCTCCTCTCTATCAGCTGGGCCCTTTCACCTGACTAGGAAGGGTATTCATATAGAGATGAAGATCCTGCTGCTCTGTGAGCCAAACTCTGGTCTTTTCTATGCTTTTCTGCCTGCTCACAAGACTGCAGCTCACCATCCAGGGAGTCTTTTCTTCTTTTCCTGAGACACCACTTTATGGAGCTTGTAAACTGGGATGTGTAGATTTTTGCTCAAGCCTTGAACTTCTTCCATAGGGACAGCATGGAATGGTCCCTCCAGTTACTCTTGCCCCTCTCTGTCCTTTGCAGCACGTGGTCCAGTGTGTATTTGTAGCCATCAGAACCATTGGAAACATTGTGATCGTCACCACTTTGCTGCAATTCATGTTTGCCTGCATTGGAGTTCAGTTGTTCAAGGTAAAACCATTGAGTCCATCCATTCATCCGTCTCACTAAACCAACTTCTTGGGGGGAGGGTAGGAGGTGAAAGTAGTGTGGAGAAGTGCAGGGGAAGGGAAAATGGAGCTTTGCCTGGGGCAGACACCATCCTCAGTACAGTCAGATAGGAGGCCTGGGATAGCAGTAATTCCCCAGGCTCCCATTAACTAAATTCCAAAAGACAAAGAGACGAGGCATGTTGCAGAGGTGACTCATTACACCTCAGGTCCTGAGACCCAGGAGTAGCACTTTGCCAACCTTTCCCTGAAGTTTGTGGCATAACATCAGTAGCAGTGGGGCTTTTCTCACAGAATCGTGTTATGTCCACCCCCATGTCTTGTACAACTGAAGACATTCTAGATGAACACAGATCCCCTTTTGTTTCTCCTTTTATACCCCACACTTTTGAAACCAGTTATTACTCACTTATTGCCTTCATGGAGACACTTAGTCAGTTAAGGGAAGAGAAGGTGCAGGCCCCTTGCTACACTGGTCAACCATAATGAAGGGAGACTTCACTCTTCTTCTCTCGTTCTCTCCCAGGGCAAACTGTATTTCTGCAGCGACAAATCCAAGCAAACAGAAGCAGAATGCAAGTGAGTCCCTTTCCCAGGCAGATACATTTCTCAGCTCCACTCTAACTGGATCTAATGTGGGAACTGAAAATCTCTCTTGTTTCTTTTTTCCTGCCTACCAACAACAGGGGGTATTATATTTATTACAAAGATGGAGAAGTCAGCAGTCCGACGATCCAGCCCCGCCAGTGGGAGAACAGCAAGTTCGACTTTGACAACGTCTTGACTGCCATGATGGCACTCTTCACTGTTTCAACCTTTGAAGGCTGGCCAGAGTGAGTGCTCAGCTAATCAGGGGGGACAAAAGGCTTGGTGATGGGAAGCAGTGCAGCTTCCCCATTCATTTATAAGGGAAAATCAAAATCTAACCATTAACCTTCCCTCGTTTTAATTTTCATGTAGTGTTGCTTGACAACTGCCACACCCCAGTCCAGAGGTGGGTGATGTGATTCCTGTCAGTCCCCTTAGCCTCTCAGAAGTGTTATTAGGTTTAATGAGCATTTGTAAAATTTTCTGATATCTTGAAAGGAAGGTGACACAAAAGTGCAGCAGAGGCGTCGTAGCAGCATTAGTATATCTGTAGATGAAGATCATATTGTTCCTTTTACCCTTTCAGCTCTCAACAAATACTGATGAGTAATAGAGATGTAGCTGTGTTAGTCTGGTCTAGCTGAAACAAAAGATAGGACTATGCAGCACTTTAAAGATTAACAAGATGGTTTATTAGGTGATGAGCTTTCATGGGCCAGACCCACTTCCATATTAATATTTTGATGAGGGGTCTGGCATTTCTTTCAGTACCATTCCATCAGGGTGATTCAGGCAAGAGCTATGTTGTGGCCCTACCCTGTCCATGCTAGCCAGGATCAAGAGCTGTTGATGCCAGCATGACTTCAAACAGTTAAAAGTGCCAAGATCATGCTTCCTTTCAGAACTTCTATGAACAGCACCAAACTAGGAACAAGTTCTCAGCAAAGCGGATTATTCCTTCTTTATCTGCATGATGTATAATGAAGGGGCACATCTTCTGTTTTAGCCTTTTAAAGGTTTAAACTACAGGTAGCCTTTAATCCACAGCAGAACTCAATACATAAAAAAAACAAATAGTCTAGTACAGTGTTTCTCAACCAGTGGTACGAGTACTCTTTGGGGTACTTGAGAGAAGTCTAGAGGGTACATCAACACAACTGAAATTTGGAGAAAACTGAATTTTTGTTTTAAAATTTGTTTTACATTTTATAGAGGTTAATTATTTTTGTACTTTTTACACCCAAAAATGTCATAGCTTGCACGGCTACGATTAAGTTGTTTAAACAAATGTGTTGCAATGGTAGAAAAAATTGTGTGTCTGAAAACTGCAGGTACTTTTTTTTTTAAAGGGGTACTTTATAAAGAAAGGTTGAGAAACACTGGTCTAGTAGCACCTTAAAGACTAACAAAACATGTAGATGGTATCATGAGCTTTCGTGGACACAACCCACTTCTTCAGAAAGCTCATGATACCATCTACATGTTTTGTTAGTCTTTAAGGTGCTACTAGACCAGTGTTTCTCAACCTTTCTTTATAAAGTACCCTAATGATCAATAGATAAAGTAAGATCTGGATCTGAACTTTCACAAAAGTTTGGGAGTCGGATAAAGAGGGTTAGTGTGTGGTTAGCCCTATATAAAATTAAATCATTTTTCAATATTGCAACTATTAGAAGTAAATATCTAAAAGTTAGACTCCCACCATGTGATTTCATAGCTCAGTGGGGTATTATGAGACAATATTATTGGAAATTTTCTAAGTGTCTTCATTGGGTTTCTCTTTACCTTTAGTCTGCTGTACAGCTCCATTGATTCTCACACGGAGGATGTGGGACCCATCTATAACCACAGGGTGGAGATCTCCATTTTCTTCATTATCTATATCATCATCATTGCTTTCTTCATGATGAACATCTTCGTTGGTTTCGTCATTGTCACGTTTCAGGAACAAGGAGAGCAGGAATACAAGAACTGTGAGCTGGACAAGAACCAGGTAACATATGGCTGCATAGTGCAATGAAAGGCACAAAATACAACCAAAAGAAATGCACAAGGGCTCAAATACAGCCAGAGTGGTACACAAATGAGGACTATGAAAAGGGTAAAGCATTCTGCTGTCCCTATTTGTTATCAATCAAGAACCAGGTAAAGGAATTTCTTCTTAAGGCCCATACACAGATGCATATTCTGCTGTAACACTGACTTCACTGAGGTAGCATGAATCTAATTGAGAGCAGAATTTGGCCCACTGGAAGTACAAATGGAGGCTCCTGTAAGTTGAATTTATTTAGATTGTGATCTAAACGAAATTCCATACCAAATAATTGTCATTGAAATATATTTTTGTACATACAAGGCAACCCACCTACCTTTATTTTTTAATCTCCCTCTTCTCTTTACTAGCGCCAATGTGTTGAGTATGCCCTGAAGGCCCGCCCCCTGCGGAGGTATATCCCTAAGAACCATTACCAGTACAAAGTGTGGTATGTGGTGAACTCCACCTATT